CCTGATCTCCCTGTTTTTTCCTCATTTGTGTACAAATCCACAGAAGACTGGTAAATTGAGCAGAAACAGCCTATGGGACATTTCCATGGTGCTATGATTAGACAGAAAATAAGATTTAAAACATTATATGTCTTTGTGTCTAGACAGTTGGAGTGCAGTCAGCATGCAGAGGCCTATACCCTGACTTTGGTAGGACCACTCATCATATTTCATAGAATCATAGAGTTGGAAGGGACCTCCAGGGTCATCTAGTCCCAACTCCCTGCACAATGCAGGAAATCCACAAATACCTCCCCCCATACCCCCAGTGACCCCTGCTCCATTTCCAGAAGAGGGGGAGGGGGGACCCTCCAGGATCCCGGGCCAAATTGGCCTGGAGAAAATTCCTTCCTGACCCCAAAGTGGCGATCAGCATTTCCCTGGGTGTGTAAGAAAGGGCCACGAGAACTAAGCACTGAGGCAATCCTTCCTGCCCTCCCTCTCATGATCTGCCTAAGTTCACAGAATCAGCATTGCTGACAGATAGCTATCTAGCCTCTGTTTGAAAACCTCCAAAGAAGAGCCCACCACCTCCTGAGGAAGCCTGTTCCACTGAGGAACCACTCTAACTGTCAGGAAGTTCTTCCTAATGTCTAGCCGAAAACTCTTCTGATTTAATTTCAACCTGTTGGTTCTGGTCCGACCTTCTGGGGCAACAGAAAACAGCCCTTGAAGATGGTTATCGTATCACCTCTCAGTCGTCTCCTCTCCAGGCTAAACATACCCAGCTCCTTCAAGGTTTCCTCACAGGACTTTATTTATTGTGTATTTATTTTTATATCTCACTTTTATCCCCAGTAGGGGGACCCAAAGCAGCTGACAAAATTGTTCTCCCCTCCTCCATTTTTATCCACACGGCAAAACCCCTGTAAGGCAGGGTAGGCTCAGAGTGCTGGCCCAAAGTCACCTAGTCACCTGGCAGGCTTGCATGAGAGAGCAGGGATTTTATTTTGATTTATGACATGATTCACACCTAACCTTTCTATCTGTGCTCCTCCCTTTCCCCCTGACATAGAGAATTTACATTTAAAAGCTTTGGCAAAAGTCACACGAAGAGAGGGTTGCCAGTCCCCAGGTCCCGGCAGTGGTCCCTTCAGTTTTAGGGGCTTCAGCCTGCTCTCAGCCAGCTGGCCAGCAGGGAAAACCCCGCCCACAAAAAGCCACATTCCAGTGTGACATCCCCAACATGATAACGTCACCTGGAAGTGAAGTCATTACGTTACGGACGTCATGCGGGGCCTTCTGGTTTAAGGGCAAAACTCTATGGTAAATTTGGCCTAAAACTAGAGAGTTTTGCCCTCAAACCAGAACATCCAGCGTGGCGTTGCCAACGCAATGATATCACTTCTGGGTGACATCATTGCATCGGGGAATGTCCCGGAATGTCCCCCAAATCCACCCCCTGGCACAGCAAGGGGACCTGGCAACCGTACACCAAGCCTCTCTGCTTTGCTTCCCCCCATCTAATCCTCACCATAAGAATGCCCAGTATAATTTTCCTCCACATATCTTTCTGAAGAAGTGAGCTGTGACTCATGAAAACTCATATTGAAAGGAATGTTGGTAGTCTTTACAGTGCCACTGGACTTCTGTTTTATTCTTCCAAATCCTAGAGCAGGAGTGTCAAACATACAGCTCGTGGGCCAAAACTGGCCCCTCTAGGGCTCTTATCTGGCCCACCAGCAACTGGTCATTACCTTCATTGCCAGATGATAGAGGCTGTTCATTGTATCCCTGTATACTATGCCAGTTGTAACGAGTAATGGGCGGTAGAAGTGAGAGGGTTGGCATCAGGGAGATACTTTAAGGAAATACTGTAAAATACTGTTAATGTTTTAAGCATGTTTGTATTTTGAATAAAATATAACATCATTAATTGGGTTTGCCTGTGTTCTTTATAAAGTTTATATCTCCTGTACCTGGCATTACATTTTATGGCACGCATGGCCCAGCCCAACAAATTGACATTTATGTCAGATACAACCCTTGTAACAAATGAGTTCAACACCTCTGACTAGAGACATAAGAGGTTGAGGAATGCTGTGATTTTTCTTTCTTTCTACTGCCATTTATTTTGGGGTATTCTTGCTCTGTTGGTGCCTCTTCCTTGTGTTGCCAGGAGGTGAGCAGGGCTGAGTGTGCCTCTCAAGTGCATCATACAAGTGCAGGATCGGAAATGAACTACAGAATTCAGCATTCTTTAAATGCTGGGTTTCACTTCTTTTAAAAGATTTTTTGTAAGCCCTTATGGCCATGAAGTTGCATGGGCAATGTCTGATGAAATTATCTAAAGCCTGTGGAAGAAGGAAGTGGAAGATTTATTCCCCTACATAGATCAAGGCCTTGTTCATCCCATTCTGTTAATCTGGTCTGTCCCCATAAGTAGCAAAAGTAAAATGTGTGCATATTAGATGTGTATAATTTATACAACCGACAGAATATAGTTTTTCCCGGTGTGGAATTTTTGGACTGGCTAGATGTCGTTTTCTTTGTGTAGAGTATATATGTGTCCTGTGGTGGTTGCCCATAAAAACTGTGTGCCTTTCATTCCAGTTCTAGATAACTCTGAGAAGATCTGAGCTTTCCTAGCTGAAGGTGAGCCTTGACGGTTTCCTCTCCTGCTTCTGACCCCTTGCAGGGAATTGACCCCATTAACCAGACCAAGGTGGTAGAGATTCTGAAAGAGGGTGACAGCTCTGAGAGGAGGAGGAGCCGAGACAGCCTGGGAGGCAACGTCAAATATGAGAGTGCCACAGATGGCAGCGAGGAAGTGAGTATGGGCGTGGAATGGAACGGGGTAAGTACAAGTCCACCATCAAGAGCCTAACCCAGCCAAGAGAGGCAAAGGGCAGCAGTCTCTTTTGAGCTCTCTTTTCAAATGCTGCCCCCTGCCAACTCGGGGGACTGATGGCCTGTCGTGGCATACCCACCTTCATTCATTCTTTGCATGCTCCCTGACCACTCTCTTATTGCCAGTTAGACCGATCCGGGAAGGGGGGGAGCTCTTTAATTCTCCCCATTCACTCAGAATAGTCCAGTGCTTGCCTTTAGGAAAGAAAGTACACCTTTGACTAATCCTCGCCACCTTGGTCTTCTCTACTAATATTGCCACAGTGCTCCCTTCCCTTGTCTGTTGCAGGGGAGGGCAGAGGATGTTGCTTCCCCTTGCAGGAGGAGGTAGCCTTGCTCTAGAAAGAAGCACCCAAAGTGCTTTGGCTCTGCTCTGGGGCACAGCAGCTACTTGAGAGGCTCTGTGTGTGTTAGTGTGCATGTGGTGCCTGAAGGGTGTATCTGGAGGCGGTGGAGTGTATGTGTAAAGACCAATATGTCTTTCTCAGGATGGTGAGAACCTATGCATACAACTTTTTTTGTTTTTGCAATTATGGGTTGGTGAAGCAGCATATGGGTTAGAACTGATGTCTTCCTCCACTCTTAGCCTCTTGCCAGTTCCTGGCTGGTGCTTTTCAGCTTGGTTTCCATACAGTAGTGCCTTGCCTTGGACAGAGAGTGGGAGCTTTGAGCTAGGTGGGCTTGAGAAATTTCTCTGTGGTCTGGAACAAGTCTCAGGAGATTGGAAAAGCTTCTTGACTTGCTTCTTTTACCCACTGTGCAGATGGGTCATGAGTGAGTGGAATGGTAATGAACATGTCTCTGATGGGACAGCATGCTGGAATTTGTCTTTCTGATTTCTTGGAGTTGGATGCTGAGGTTTACTCTCTCCTGCTTTGTTCCATCATGCAAGAACTTTCTCTTCCTCTTTGCCCCCCCAACTTCAGCCCTCTAGGTTAGAGAGGTGCTGCATGTAATCTTGGCTTGAGGAAGGAGTGTAAGAGAGCAATAAATGGAGTGTAAGAGAACAGACATAAACATAAGTAGGTTTCTTTGGGATTATTCGTGGGATGTAGCTAGCAGCAGGGAATCTGTCCTGGAATATTGGCCATTTGTTCCTATGACTCGGTTGCATTAACATGCACTTGCTCCATCCCTCATTAATTCTTCACATATAGTTCTGCTGTTCGCTTGCCTGCATGCGCTTCCTCCATTCCCCATCTACCCTCAGCAACTTGCCATGACAGCCAATCAGCACCACGGGAGGTCTTGCAATCTTGATTGTGGATTGTACCTAACAGGCAGCAAGTGAAATAACCTACAAAGGAGAGCATACCCCCTGGTGGCCTAGGGAATAGGGACATATTTCCTAAAGTCTGTATTTCCTCAAAGAATGATCCTTCCCTCTCCAAGTGAAGACTAACATTAATATTTTAACTGCAGTCGCAGTGAGTTCTTCACTTATGGTGCAATTCCAGCTTTGCAATTTGTATTACGTGCATCCAATCTAACAGGTTGGATGCTGGATCAACCCTACCCCTTCCCACATGGTCCAGATGGACTGCCCACCTTTAAAAAAAAATTAAACTCCATGTGTGTGTCTGTGTGTGTGTGTGTGTGTGTGTATGAATCTATATCATTCTTCACCCCAAAAATATCCATTAACATTTTAAAGACAGTTGCAAAACTGCTGAAGGGATTATAGGGAGAGAAGTTCCATGGACACTGCCTAGTAGAGCCATAAAGCAATTATAAAACTTTCAGAATTATTTTTTCCAAAGGTTACCACTTCCTCTTCTTTTCAAGTGTTAAATACATCTTAAGCAAGTGTCACATGCAAACTCTGACCAATAAGAGAGAGAACCTAGCTTTTCATTCGGAGCTGTTTAGCTTCACTGTCCACCCCTGTCTACAGAGCATGTTCTCCACAGTTCAGGGGTGGCCTTTGACTCAGCGTAGAGGTTAGTATTTCTGGTAATGGTTTCTGCTGGGGTTACTTCTGTACAGTGAATAGGCAGTACAAGGTCTGTGTGCTTAGGAATCTTTCTGCTGCCATCTTGTACCAGGACTCTTTCCTTCTTTGATTGCATGTATTCTGGATTATCAAGGCTGGGGAGATACCACAGTCATGGGTCTGCTAGAATTTCCTGTTGAAGTTCTAATAGACACATGACTGTGGTATCTCCAGTACCCATTTTGGATAGTTCCATGGCCTTCTGGCATCAAAGAAGAGTATACTATCCGGTCTTGGAAAGCTCTAGTAGTGTGCAAAGGAGCTGCTCCAAAAGAAAGCTGAAGTTTGAAGCTGTCCTAAACTTTGAAAGATATTGCCTGACATTTTTTTTAAAAAAAACCCAATAAGATACTGAGCTGCTCAGTGAGCTGGCTGCTTGTCAGCTTACCCTAGTCCAGTGATTTACAAGGCATGACATCTTATCAGGGCTTCTTTTAAAAAGATCAGGAATGAAAAACTCCAATACATGGCAGCATTCCCATCACTAAACAGCCACCTTCTGAAACTGGCACTAAACAATGATGAGGCCTGGCAGGCATCCTTCATGAACTGAAGGTGACCCTAGAATACTTTCCAGAATTCTCTGCAATGAGGATTGCAGAGATCTGTTGGCAGGTGAATCAATATAGAAAGGGTTCCTTGAGACTGGAAAGATGGAAAGAACTAGATTTCATTCCATCTTCATCCCAGGCACCCTTAAATCTCATTCTATATCTCTTCCATCACCAGCCCTTTCTCCATAAAATCATGTTCAAGGCTTAACTACATGAAATCAGGCTGCAGTTCAGCTTGGCCATTCCTTAGGCTTTGAATGTGGTGTAAACCTCAGAAGCTATTTTTTTTCCTATGAATCTATACACTTCATTAGATATAAAGCTCTCATGAAATCATCCCAGCTTTTATTTCCACCGCTGCTCTAGATTCGATCTGAACATTCAGGCAGGCAGGGAAGCATGAAACTAAGATATCACTGACAGGATTTTTTTGTAATAACCCAAGCAACCCTTGAGAAAGTGACCACAACTCCGAGGCAGAAAGCATGCATTGCTTGGTGAGGATCCCAGGTTCAGTCCCTAGCACCTGCAGTTAAAAAGATCACATACAATAATTTAAGGAAATTGATGAAAAATGTAAAAAGATCCCAGGCAGCAGGAACAGGAAAGCAAAGACAACACCAGGCTGGACGGCCAAAAGGTCTGACTCTTTCCTTAAGGTAGCTTCGTATTTCAGTGAGCTACTCCTGTCTTACTGTTGCAGTCATGCAGCTTAGCTCAGCGTGGTCTTGCTACATCTCTTGATGCTTTGGCGAGGAAGGAAGGTGTTAGCCCTTCTCTCCCATTTGCTGCACCCTTTCTGTTTAGGCAGCATTGACCCAGGCTGAGTTTTTCACTCCCAGGAAGAGTGATGGTCTGAGAGTTTGGATTCATTTCCGACAGTGAAAAGGCCTACATGCCCTCTGTAGTCTCCTATGTAAAAGTCACCCTACAAGGAGAAAACCTAACAGAGCAGAAATCACATTGGGCTAGAATTTCTCTCTCTGGTGTGTTTGGGTCTTGTTTTGTTTTAACCTGCAGGAACACAGAGAAGCATTCAGAAATGGCATTTTCCTCCCACTTGCAGTCTGAAGCAGTGCACTTTACCACCTAGCAGGTTTCCATCGCACCATTTTACTACCTGCACAGGGCTGCAAGCCTAGAAGCCATTCTGTGTGTTACTTACAACAAGATGGTCAGACTCTAGACTGCACTAACTGCTAGCTTCCTTGAAGCAGGGAGCGTTGGCTGTCCCTGTGTAAAACGAAGCACCCCAGGATTGTCCCAAGAGTCCTAGTGGTCCAGCATGACTAAGCAAAGCCTCTACCTAGAATTTTTACAAGCCTCCTTTATCGAGCCACATGTTCCCCCTCAACACCTTTTAAAAAGGACTCCATCCCATGTCAAAAGATAACAGTGTGCATGTATGTGCGTCCACCCCTCTGCAGTTGATTGACCTCCACACCTGAACTGTAGCCTGTGCTTCCCTTTCTCCCTGCCCTCCATCAGGATTGTCATGCATCCTCACTACGGCCTTGTAAATTGTGTCTTTCTCCTCTGTGCACTAGGCTTAAATGCCTCCTGAGACTCCTCTTCCCCCCTCCCCCCCTTCACCACAATCACCTGGATGCTTGTGCCGTACCTTCCGACTCTTCCCTCCAGTCCATCCCCCCCTCCTTCCGCTGTTCCTGCTCTCCTCGGCAAAGGACTCCACGCCAGTCCCCCCAACCTTCCATCTCTCTGAGCACTGAGGAGCAGAGCAGCACCGGCAGAGGAATGTCCAGCTTGCAACACACGGCTGCTCTACTGTATCAACCGGCAAGATAACAGGAAGAACCTCTGTGGACCGACCTGCCTCCCTCCCCCCATCCCTGTCAGGGCCAGGTGTCAGCAGGACTCCTCTCAGCTTCCTCCATTCTCTTTCAGGTGTCCTAAATGGGGGAACTGAATGAAAGCCTCCTCCTGTCTAACAATGTCCTTGCTGTCCCGTTCTGTGCCCTACTCATCTGGGTACAACACATTCCCTTTTCCCCGTTGCCTTCTAATCTTATGGAATTGGCTGCTTCTGTTTGAGTTCTCTGTCCTCTCCTTGGCCTTCCCCTGTTCCTTTTTTCTTCCCCCTGCTGTGAGGGCAGAAGGTGGGGAGTTAGCAGATGCTGAGATGCATGTGTGTCCTATGAATTGCCTCAGATTGTGGGGAAGGGGGCAGGAGGAGTGGGTGAGCCATATTCTGTTCTCTTTTCCATTGTCGGATCAAACGTGTGACGCCGAAATGGTATTTCATGTGTCCACGGCTGCTACTTGGGGCTGGCATGCCGCCTTTCATAGTGGTTGGCCCTGAGACCAATACAGATGAAGACGGAAGCAGGCCTGTTCTCCCTTTTTTAGTAGCTGGCGTCTGTTCAGTTGCCCCAGGACAAGCACAGTGGGGAAGATCAGAACAATAAAGGCACTGAAGGATGTGCTGAGCCAAAAGATGAAGATCAACAGGCATGAACTGTAGTCTTCTGGCTGGGACCTTTACTTTTATTGAGCTGGCCATGATCCACATCTGGGACAGAATGGGAGACGGGAGAGGTGGGGGTAGGCTGTAGTTGCAGGGGCCGTTGTAGTAGGTAAGTTTTTCATATAACATATCCTGTTCTGTCCTCACTGATGAGGCTCTCCTCTGGACCAGCTCTTCCTGTAGTGCTTCAGGGTACCTTCTTTTCAGAAGGAAATGTCTCTTTGGCTGTGAACAGGGAAGGTTTCCTCATAGAGGACAGGTAACTGGAGGCAGAAATGGCTTGACTGCTATCCGTCTGCCTGCTGCTCCTCTCCCAAATGTGGGGGAGAAAAAGCAATTGCATATTTACATCTCTTAATTTATTGTCACAAATGTACATTTTTAAAATCATGCTGTGACTCAACACTGGAGATTACAAGGACCCAGCTGAATGCCGCAAAATGAACACACAGTGCATTGGTGGTTTTTTCACCAGTTAAGGCAGCAAGTGCAGCTGCTGCTTATTTAGAAGCATGGCCACATGAGCTGGGACTGCATGTCCTACACAAGTAGGGTGAAGACTAAGGCTGTTGTGTGCGAGAGAGTGCAGGACATAGACCAGAAGGGGTAGAAGACCCCATTATAAATTGCTGGGCCTCTGGGAGATTTGAGTGGAGGGGAGGTTGTGGCTCGGTGGCAGAACCATCTGCTTTGCTTGCAGAAGGACCCAGGTTCAGTCCCCACCTTCATAGGCAAAAGGATCAGGTGCCTGGTGATGCAAAAGACTTCCACCTGAGTCTCCGGAGCGCTGCTGCCAGTCAGAGTAGACAATAGCAACCTTGATACAGCAACAGTCTGATTCAGTATATGGCCAGCATAGTTTGTGTTCATGTGGGCCAATAAATGACTTAGGATATGCAAGTTTACAGTGGGAGGGAAGTGTTACGCGGGACAGTGGGAGCCATGTCTCTGAATGCCTGAGGGCTTGGTTTTGTAATGAGTTGAGAACGGGGCCCTGAGGAAGAGGGAAGCGAGAGCGTTCCTTCCAGAATGCAGAGCACAGGGTGGGCCGTACAGGGTGTGATGGAAATATTTCTGTGGGGTAGGGATTTAAAGTTAGAACATGAATGGGATACAGTAGGCTAGAAACTGTTCAGGGGGAGGCTAAATGATCCAGATGCCAGTTAGAAGAGAGTTGTTGGAATTGTGTGTGTGCAGCATGATAGGAAAGCCTAAGGATATGTTGGTAAAAGTCTGCTAGTATGTAGGTCTCATGATGCCTGGAGAAAACTGGATGTTGGAATCTGGTTTCTAAAGCGGGGGGGGGGGCACAGTGTTTTCTTTGCTTGCTCTAGTACCTGGCGGTCAATGCAAGTCTCCTTAAACGTCTGCGGGTGACCTGGTGCTTCCCCCCACTCCTCCTGGGCCAGCAGGAAACTGCCATCCATCTCTTGTAACATGCACAGTTGTGTGGGGTTTTTTTTGTCCATGTTGCTGTTCTGTGAGTATAGCTGGCTTTTTGGGGGGAAAAGATATGTTTATTTCTTAGAGTTATTGGTAGGTGTTAGGTAGGATATGTGCACCTTTTCGCTTAAGGTGTCCATAAACGGCTGGAAGTCAGAACTGAGTAACAGGAATGTACTATTATTGCCCTGTGATGTTCCTTCAGTGCTGAAGATAAGTCACCGGGTCACGATGGGCTGCTGGTCTGATCCAGAAGGGATGGTCACAGGTGAAGGTGTGAGGTGGGACAGCTTGAAGGCTCTGGGCCTAAATGCCTGCCATGGCTCCTTTTCAGGGGCCCACTGCAGCCGTAGCGGAGCTTTTTGCTTTGCCTGTGTGTGCTTCGATAAAAGGCCTGTTTATGCATGCATGAGGCTGCCAGGCAGGCAGGCAGGTGGAGGTGATATAGGAAAGCATTGCTGAGAACCCAGTAGTTTGAGGGTTCTGTCCTGTGCCAGTGGTAAGGGAGAGCCAATCCCAGGATGTTGTGAATAAGCCTCTGGAGTTTGTCCTGGGAAACTGCTCTCACTGCCTCCATCAGCTCTCTGCCCAGCTCTGCATTCTGCCTTGCACTGAGCTATCCACAGGCCTTTCAACAGCACTGGGGCAGGGGGGAATTTGAAAGTATGATGTACTCTCTGCCTTTGATACATACTTGGTGCTTTCTTTTATGTTGTGAACTAATTTACCTCCAATTAAAGGCAGAAGACTCTAAATTGCTGCTTCCCTGTGCTTCTTTTTCTCCTTTGGGTAGAAAGTACCTCTCTCTCCAAGGACAAGTCTTTGGCCAAGTGTCACCGATAGGCCTTGAGAAAACGAACTGTCTCTTTAATAGAGCCACCATGGCATCATGTTTAGTGTGTCATACCAGGATCTGGGAGACCCGGGTTTGAGTCCCCACTCTGCCATGGAAGCTTGCTGGATGACCTTGGGCCAGTCACACATGCTCAGCCTAATCCGCCTCACAGGGTTGTTGTGAGGATAAAAGGGAGGGGGGAGACTGTTGGGAGAAAAGTGGGATGAAGTAAATAGAGACACTTAATGTGTGGAAATGGGCAGGACATGTTTCTCTAGGCCTGTTGGCAACCCTCCTCTGGATGCCCAGCACTGCATATGATACATTTTTCTGAACAGAAGAGTGGTCTTAGACATGGTCTGTGTGTAAAGAATGAATGAACCGCCTCCATGTGGCTGGGATGCAGAGAACGAGAGAGAGAGCATGGAAGAGCCTGGCTGTGGAAGAAAGTTGCTGTTCACTGTAGTACATACATATCCATCAATCTGAAGGACAAAACAGAGGCAGCAAGGAGACCTACTTTTCAAAAGGGTTCCTTACGGAGTAGATCTGGCAAATCACACCTTTCCAGGGAAATTGTGCTTTGAGTATTATACGATTAAAAATATGAATATTTGGCTGAGACGGTGGTATGAATTGAAGTCCTGTTACCTGATTCACTGTGTTACACTGCCTTTCTCCTTATTTGCCATGTTCGGCCTTCATGTTCAGAATCCTAGGCCACCACATGCACCAAAGGCACCACATACTCCAGGACTGTAGAAATAACATTTACCTCTTCCCTTGTTCACTACTAGCTAGCTATCTGCCACAAAAGGAAGACAATAGAGTTATACAAAATAACACTGCTCGGCTTTCTCTAATAGCCAAACTGAGGCCCCGGGCACACGGGCCGGCTGAAACGCGGCTACTCAGAGCCGCTCCAAACTTGATACGCCGCGGCGGGATCCCACGGATCCCCTAGCCGCGGCGCAGCACTCCCCGGCACGCTCAGATGCCGGGGAGGAAAAGTCCGAGGGGAGGGGGGAGGCTGCCGAACTGCGCATGCTTGGGCATGCGCAGTACGGCTGGGGGCCGGGATGCGGCGGCGCAAGGACGCGCCGCCGATCCCACAGCCCTGCCTGCGCCGCACCAATGGATGCAACCACCTAGAGAGGTGGTTGTTTTTTGCGGCGCAGTTTGGGCCGTTGGGACGGATCAGGGACGGAGACGGCACGCTCGCCAGATGTTGAGGTGAGATCGCGCCTGTTTGCTCCGCCCCAGTTCCGTCCCGCTCCCGGCCCAAATGGGCTCGTATGAACGGGGCCTGATTCTGCCTAATGAGGAAAGCAGGACTATGCCTATGAGATACTTGCAGATTGCTCAATAATATTCACAAAGTGGTGGTCAGACTGGATCATATTATCAATAGATTCCTGAGACATCATATGCATAGATCGGGTTAAATGTAAAAAAAAAACCAACCCCCAAAATATTTGCCTTGGAGGAATAGAAGCTTTTTCACAGTATCCCTGATGCTCCACGTTTCCCAGTTAGGGGGAAAGTGCTGTTCAAACCAGTTACAAAGATGATCGACTAAGATGGAAACAAGAGAAAGAATTTTTACTTACAAAAATAGAAGTACATCTTATGTAACATATTCATGTAGGTAGATTTAACTTATTGTGAACAGATTAACTTCAGAAAGGTTAACTTGCTACAGCTCCAAGCCCAGGTAAGGGAGAGAAGAAGAGAGGTCCTATATAAGCTGAAACAGAAGGCAAGCAACGGCCAAAGAGGCTCAGCATCTAACCAATGAGGGGTTGCGGCCAAGTGTACCTGAGTGAATTCTCTTAACCCTTTCCCTCCCAGATCCTCTTGCATGCACAGTTACAATATCCGACACCCCTTCTTAACGTCACATGCAAAAGTTCTCAAGTTTCAGCTTATCTCGTCGTTTTCCAAATCTGTCTCTTGATAGAGGCTTGGTCAGGGTGTTGGCCACCATCTCTTCTGTTGAACAGGATGTCGGTCACCATCTCTTCTCTATTATGCCCTTCTCAGTTAGGTAATGCACTAAGTGAAGCTTCACGCCAATGAGTTTAGTGCATGCAGCCATTTTTTTCTGATTGAGGAATCTTAATGCAGCTCTGGTTGTCTTCTTTAAATTGAATTGGCTTTTGCTCATCAACTCCAAAGTCCTTTAGTAACAGGTCTATTTATTTATTATTTATTTATTTATTATTCTAATTTATACCCCACCCTCCCCCATAGGGCTCAGGGCGGCTTACAGGGCAAGATAATCTTGCTGCAGTAAAACAACAATACAAAAATAACGATATACTCACATTTTAAAAACATATTATACAATTTAAAAACCCATCCTAATCACATAAAGTGCTCGGTGATAGTGACAACTCCAGAACCCAAGATGGCAGGACAATTCAATTCCTAACAGACAGTCCATAGCGTCACTGTTCAGATGTTCCAACAAACCTCAGGGCTCTTCTCAGGGCCTCTTCCAATCCCCCCCCCCCAGCCACAAGAGTTCTCTGCATGCTTCAGCAGATGCTATATATTCAGACTCTGTGGCCCAGGAGATTGGTCCACCTCCATATAGGATCAAGTACCCACTTGTGGATTTATAGTCTAAACTGTCTCCTGCCCAATCTGCATCCATGTAACCAACTAATTTTGGATTACTGGTGGGTGGCAATTTCAGTTTCAAATCTAAATTACCTTTAAAATATCTAGCTACCATTTTTAATGCAGTCCACTCTTTCTTGCTACGTGCACTTGTCTTTCTGCTTAAGGATTGATTTGATTTGATTGGTTGCAATATCAGGTCTGCTAGTGGAACTTAGATATAGAAGTTTTCTTATGGCGGTTCTGTACTAATCGTCTTTAACTAAAGGCTCACTTACTTCAGTGTTCTTAAGAAAATTAGTTTCCATAGGTGTTGCCACTGTGTTAGCATTTTCTAGACCTGACGTCTGTAAGAGTTCAATTATTTTCTATCTCTGGTTTAGGAGAACTGAACCATCTTCCCCTTTCAGTTTGTATGCCTAGGTAGTAAGGAACATCTCCTAGCTCCTTAATTTCTACTTCTCTGTTTAGGCACTTTACTACACTGTTACAGTCCATTTGCCTGTGATAATCCAGAATCAAGTTATCAACATAAGCGAGAATAAAAGTACAATGTCCATCTTTGTTTTCAGTGTACAGACATGAATCCGATGCCTCTTACTTGAAGCCTTGCGCTATGAGCATTGTGTGTAATTTTTTGTTCCAGGCACATGCTACCTGTTTTAACCCATACTGCCCCTTCTGCAGTTTGCAGATTAAATTTGGTTGTTTGGGGTCTATAAAACCTTCTGGCTGCCCCATGTACAGATCTTCCTGGATCTCCCCATGAAGAAATGCTGTCTTTACATCTAGATGTTTGACTGCATCTTCTTGGATGCTTGTATGCTCAAAAGTAATCTAATTGTACTATGTTTCACCACCAGTGCAAAGGTTTCATCAAAGTCCTAACCATATTTTTGTGAGAAACCTTTAGCAACTAATCTTGCTTTTGTAGCACTCCACGTTTCTATCTGCATTTTGTTTTACTTTAAATGCCCACTTGCATCCAATAAGATTCTTTCCTGGTGGTAGCTCCATCAAGGTCCACATTTTATTTTTGCTACAGCTCCAAGCCCAGGTAAGAGAGAAGAAGAAGAGAGGACCTATCTAAGATGAAACAGAATGCAAGCAAGGGTCAAAGAGGCTCAACATCTTACCAATGGGAAGGCGGGGCCAAGTGTAAGGGGGGGGAGAGAGAATTCTCTTACCCTTTCTCTCCCAGATCCTCTTGCATGAAGGGTTACAATATCCAACACAATAACCCACATAGAAACTGTCCTAGAATGTGTACATAATCACCATCATGTGCAGACTTTTTTCAACACACTATCTGACTTTGTGAATTCACAATTTGCTATCTGGCAGTAGAAAATAAAGATTAATTTGCTGTGTTTGATGTTATGGCACCACCATTTAAAATTATATAGCAGTTGTCTTTCATCAGGTTTCATCTGCTTGTAGCCCTCTGTGTAGCAGGTGTCCCTTTGTCAGTGTAGCAGTGGAAGAGGTCGCTATGGGAAGGGCTACAGCAATTAAGGTCATTAGGAGAACCAACACTGAAGTCTGCAGAATGGTTCCCCAGAGAATTCTGGGATCCAATTGGCACTCTCACTTTCTAAGAACAGACTAACCAAATTGATTTACTGACCTAACTGGAGTGGGTAGCAACAACAAATTATACCTTAAGAATGTAATGTTTCTTTCACAACAACAGTGCAATTTCCACAACTCGATACCTGGTTCTCCTGAACCCAGATCAGAGCAGAAAAAGAAAGAAATCCAAGCAGTATCATCCTGTGTGTGTGTGTGTGGGGAGAATAGAAGTTGCAAAATACCAGTGCTAGGTACAGAGGCTGCAGAGTTCTGAGGGAGGCCAGAATAGTTGGCCTTGGTGTATATTTTGATGTCTCCAAGAACCACAGAAAATTTGAACAGTGGGAAGGGAGCCTCCACTGAATCATCAAAATTCAGCTCTGAAGTACTGGAGAGTAGCTGACTTCTCAGAATCTCCCATCTATCATGGGTCCTCCAGAACAAGGAACAGACATTCTGTGTTGGATAATTCTGCACTTTATAGAGATGCTCTTGATATATAATTTCCCCATGTCATGATGCACTGGCCTTGGAGCCTACACAGACTGCATTTTCTTACAAAGGTCTCATTCATAATACTGTATTAGAAAAAGTGCAAGTAGATGGGGCTCTAACTACAGCAGTGAAGAATGAAGCACTACTTTATCCAGAACTATATGCAATGTGTAGGTAATTTCCCGCCATTTACCCTAAAAGATAAAACGCAGTTTGTATTTTTATGTAGCTTGGTGTGTACTAGGCATAGGACAGAGAGATACTGAGAATATGGGTTAACAAGAACCAGAGAATTTTTAAATTAAAGAATTAAACATTTATACAGATTGTGAACTGGACATTTGTTAAGCAGATAACCCTTATTTTTATTAATGGTATTGTAACCAAGGGAGGTAGTATGCTAGTTCTCCCTACTTACAGAACTTAAATTTCCTTTTCCTTGGGTTGTTCTGTATCTTAAAGACACTGGCACATATGTGAAGTGAGTGATTTTCCTCTGGTAGGACTGCTAATTGACACTGGAATAAGGATACCAAAGCACCTGTGTCACTTAATGGACTGACCCTCTGAGTCTGTTCTTAGTTCACCCTGCCAGATCACAGTTCTCTTGTTTCAGACAGCTCACCCTCTGCTGTTTCTACCAGAAACTACTAACCCATAGTGGCTGACTCTGACTAGGCTGAGGCTGGCCTTTAATTTTCTTCGTTTGTGTCTAAGGCCCTCATCTGATCAGTCATTTGAATGGTTCTAAGCTAAGGGTCCTTAAGTGGTTCAGTTGCCCACTGACCAATCATACACTTGATCAATCAGTATTTTGAATCCTTCTGCCATATATAAAATGAAAAAACACTCCACAAAATTTGCTCCCTTGATAACTGTATCAACTCCTCAGATTGGCACCTGCCCAGAGGCCTACCTACGTTGTTGTTTCCTGTGAGTAGGGATGCCAGCCTCCAGGTGGGACCTGATGAACCCCCCGGGATTACAGCTCATCTCCAGGCTAGAGAGATCAGTTTTCTGCAGAAAATGGATGCTTTGGAGGGTGGGCTCTATGGCATTGCACCCCACTGAGGTCCCTGTCCTCCCCAGGCTCCATCCCCAAATCACCAGGAGTATCCCAACCTGGATCTGGCAACCCTGCCCACCCATCCCCTGCCAGTGGCCAGGGGGGACCTAGCAACCCTATCTGTGAGGAAAGTAATTCACCTCTCATTTGCCTCATGACTTTACAATGTCTTAATATTAAATATATTTTGTATAAATAACTCATATTTACACACATTGCACAATATACAGACAAAATTTCCTCAGAGGGTTTTCACAGTTTCTCCTAATGGATGCTTATTCTTTGGCCCCTAACTTTTAGGATAGTTCTGGATTTTTTTAGAAGAACACATAACTTGAAGTGTCAGAGTCTTTCACCAGTAGTCCAGTAGACACCAAAATATGATCAAGTGTGTTGTAGTGGTTAAGAGCGGCAGGCTATAATCTGGGAGAACCAGGTTTTATTCCCCACTCTTCCACATGAAGCCTGCTGGGTGACCTTAGGCCAGTCACAATTCTCTCAGACCGGTCTCAGTCCCACCTGCCTCACAGTTTGGTGTAGTGGTTAAGTGTGGGAACTCTAATCTGGGAGAACCGGGTTTGAAAGAGTTTGTAAGATGCTCTGAGACTCTGAGTGAAGGGCGGGGTATAAATCCAACTCCTCCTCCTCCTCCTCTTCTTTGTACAGGCAAATAAAAAAGGACATGAATGTGTGAAAATCAGGACAGGATAATTGAGAATGAAGAAATTGCATTTAAGAATTGTGTTCAACTCAGGGTCTACTAAGAAGTTTGGGAACCTCTTAAAACAAGCTTCAAAAATTATCAAAGGGGCAACAGAGGTCATTGGGAAAAGCACAGACTCATTTATTTTTTTGTACTTACATATGCATTGATAAGTGTGAAAACATACAAATCATTGCCTTGAGCCAATAATCTTTGCACACTGCAAGGAACTGTCCATGAGAGAATCTCCCCCACCAAATATTTGGTTGACACTGTTCAGCTCTGATGGTGCACTGCTGATCATCTATAGGGGAAAGAAGGATGTCTGAAAACTATGCCATTCCACCTGCCCGGCCTGGAAGCACCTGGATGGCTCCTCTTGAAAATGGGATGCTGAACTATATAGGTTATTTGGTCTGATCCAGCAAGACTCTTCTTGATTATATGCCTTTGTTCTTATATCAGAGTGCAATCACACAATCACTTACTATGCAATACTAACTCAAAAGCATCTGGTGCAGTGGCTCCAACTAAATGGGAAGCTGGCCAGCATTGAGCTGAGCTTTACCATTTTCCAAGAAGTACCCTGAAACTGTGTTTGTGTATATTTTAAAAATGTTGTTTGATCAGAGATGATCAACTGTTCACACAGCATGAGCAGCTCCATATGACATTGTTAAGAGGCCTGATGTGTTCCTTGTTTGTCCTAAGCAACTTCAATCAACCTTTCTCATTTGCTGTCTCACACAAGCACATACTTCTTTTGTTTTGTGCCAGGTCCTTCTCTGTGGGCCAGTTTGTATGGGATCCATTTTATTTATTTAACTTATTTGAGCGTACGTTAAGGACTGCCTTCTCCCATATGAACCTGCCCATCCACTTTGGTCACCTTCAGCTGCCCAGCTTCAGGTGCCCCCCACCATCTGAGGCTAGAAGGTGGCAATTCAAGAAAGGGTCTTTGCGGTCATGGTGCTAAAACTTGATAACTCCTCCCCAGGGAGATTTGTCTCCCTCTCTCCATTGTCGTCTTCCACTAACAGATGAAAACTTTTGTTTTGTTTTGTTTGCCACATCCTCAATAACTGTTATTGGCCCTCCTCCCTGGTTGTGGCGTTACGTATGTTTATAAGATTTTATTATAAGATATTATTATATATACTTAATTTTAAATACTCTTTAAATGTTCACCACTTTGGGGACCCTATCTGGATGGCAAGGCAGCATAAACATGTTTTAAATAAGTGTGTAAATAAATGTATAGCCCTCTTTGCTTACTGAGACTCAAAACGGATTACAGAATAAAGAAAGAGAAAAAATGTAATAGTACAGGACAGGACAGCCAATGGATAATGCAATAGGACTAGGAATACAAAACTGAATGACAATATGAACAGCACATTTCCCAAGCTGGCATAGTGTGAGCAGTGCAGGATGTGGGATTACAAAGGTTCAAGGCGATGCCGGACCCACACCCCACTTCCCACATGAAGGTGCTCTTCTGGACTGTTCTATCCCACCACAGTTCATGTTGGTGATAGTAGGAGCCTATGGGAGAGAGAATGGTGAGAGACAGAAATTAGTTTGCTAAGATGGTGTTCCTCTGTTACTGTGAATGATGGCCAGTTCATACATCCCATAGCATCAAGAGGTAACAATTTTCCTGGACTGTACTACTTCCATTTGCAGTGGGAAAACAATATTTTAATTACTCTTCCCACAAGGGGCAGGGGAGGCTTCCCACACATAAAAAAATAAAATGTTGGGGGGGGGGGGGGTCGGAGCTGGGCGAACCCTTCTCCTATGCATATTTTACATGGAGAATGTTTATTTTTTCAGCTGGGGGGACATTCTGTTGAGCAGTCCTCACTTGCATCCTGAGGTGGATACAATCACCAAAAAAAGCTTTACCACCTGACTAGTGTAGTATTAAGAGAGTAAGACCAAGAGAGGAAGGAGATATGAACATAAGAGAAGCCATGTTGGATCAGGTCAATGGCCCATCCAGTCCAACACACTGTGTCACACTGGCCAAAACACAGGTGCCATCAAGGTCCACCAGGGAGGCCAGAACTCCAGAAGTCCTCCCACTGTTGCCCCCCCCCCCAAGCACCAAGAATCATTGTCTCAGACATAGTGTTCCATCTATAATTTGTGGCTAATAGCCACTAATAGACCTTGCACCATGTGTTATCCAATCTTCTCTTGAAGCTGTCTATGCTTGTAGCCGCCACCACTTCCTGGGGCAGTGAATTCCATGTTAATTACTATTTGGGTTTGGGTATGGGTATGGTTTCATCAGTGGAACTTCAGATTTGCTTGTTTGAAGGCCACTGGCCCATGTAAAGCTGGCAGTCTTGCCCTCAGATCTCCCTCCCCCCAGATTTACTACCCCTGTTCTAACAAGCTGTCATTGGAATACTGAAACAATTATTACTTACGTTATATAGAACAGTCAGTATTCCATTTACCAGCTCTTGCTGTTTGTTGTCTTCCCTCCCAGGATGGTACTGGTGTTCTCCACCGCAGTGGTTCACTAGGAAAGATTCGGGATGTGATAAGGAGAAGTAGTGAATTGCTGGTCAAGAAGCTGCAAGGGAATGGCCCTCTGGAGCCAAGGAACACAAAGTAGGACTCTTCCTGGAACTTACATACCTTTATGCCTGTTGCTTCTACTTAGGCCTCTCAAATTAGTAAGCCTCTTCTTGCCCTTCTCAAAGATTGTGGAACATGCTAGTTCTATGTGTCTCATTTGGGGGTCGCTGTTTTGGAGGCAGTACATGCTGGAACTGGGGTGGCTAGAAGATCTTCAGGTGTGCCCCTTTCCTACATACAGTGTACTTCCCAGGCTAAGGAGAAGAGCAGGCATAGGACTTATTGCTGTGGAGACAACTTTATTTTTTTCTTCTTTTATTAGCATGAAACGAGCCGCTTCACTGAACTACCTGAATAAGTCCAGTGAGGATTCCTTCCAGGTGAGAGCATCCCATGCTTTCTGGCACATATAGCATCAAGTACATTACTTTCTCTGTGTATATTGGCAAAGAATAATAAAATGAAGAGGACAAAAGTTGCCTCAGTCTGCTCAGGCTAAAAGAAAACTATGCAAGATACCTGTGAGGTATCACCAAGAATACAGAAGGGCAAATGAGATGTACAGAATTAAGTGTTGGAGGAAATATACTAAGAACCCCCTCAGAAAGTCTGACGTTCCTCCCCAAAATTTGGTCGGCTGAGTTCCAGGCGCACAGTTGTGTAGAACATGTAATGTGCAACCCACTGTGCTAGTGGGATCATAATCTGGTGAAAAGTTGTTACCCTTAACATGAGACCCAGTTGTATTTAGGGGTGTGCCACAACCACATGTTAAGTGGAACTTTTGTTTATGGGGAATAAGGTATACTGTTCAGGAACACTCCATGTGTCTATAGTATTTGCAGCATGGAGATGAAATGACTGAATCTGCATACAAACAATAAATCTTACAATTTCCTCTTGGCCTGAGAAATTTCCCAGGATAATATGAAGAGCTAGGCAATTTCCCCCCTTTAATTTCTGAATCATCATTGTGGGATGTCTCACATCCACAGGCTCTTGGTGTGTGTGTGAGACAGTATCTTTTTCTGAGAAGATTAATGTTCACAAGAAAGGGGATTTATTTTTCAGGATACTCAAGGTCTTCGGGCTGAGAGCAGAGGCTTCAGTGCAAGCAGTGTGGATCTTTCCTCTCACAGCTCCTTGGTCACCTCCAACTGAACAGCTATCTCTGCACCCCATCTCAAATGATGACAGCTTCACAATGCTGCTACTACATCTCAAACTGATCACTGTTTTGGATATTTTAGCTGCAATCTCCCAACGCATTAGAACTTTGTTGTCTGTTATATTGATATCACTACTTGTGGAAAAGAAGAGTACATTGGGAAAAACTAATCAATACGGGACCACTGCTAGACTAGACAGAAGAACTCCCTGCAGCTATCCGCTGTGGATTAGCAGCTCTGACGAATGCACTTATCACCATGTTTGCACATTGTACGTTATTGATTGCACAGAATGAGCTCCAATAGCTCTTACCTGAAGCTCTGACTCTCTGAGCTGTGGTACAGTCTTATCTCTTTCCTAATGTAGACCGCTTCCACAATATGGTACTGTAGACTGGAGTTCCTCTCCCAGTGTGCTCTCAAGCTGGCCTATTCACTCCTTCAGTGCCTGGTCCCAGACCCGTATATTTCCTAGTAACACCTATTTTTGCACTATATCATCCCATCTTCTTCTTGCAGCCTTCTGTGACGTCCTTCCCAAATGAATATCCTTGCTTCTAGGAAATGTACTTTTGAAGCAGACAGAGATGGGCTGGAGAATGTTGACTACTTAAACCAGAGCTGTTGAACTCACTTGTTATGGAGGGCCAGATCTTACATAAATGTCACTTTGTCGGGCCAGGCCATGTGTGCCATAAAACATAATGCTGGGTACCAGAGATATAAACTTTACAAAAGACAGCAGCTGGTAGGTTACAAGTTGATGTGTCCTCACTGCAAGGCCCCATGGGGGGGGGTGTCCAGAGGAAAACCCACATGGGCAGACAGGAGACCCATCAGTGCAGTGCTGGACAGATGCTCCATGCCCCAATAGAGGATCATCTGCAACCCCCCCCCCACATGCAGACACTGATCCCTGAGGCCATCCAGGACAGCATCCCTGGAGCTGCAGGCTGAGTGGAGAGGTATGAATGTGGCTACAGTGGCTCCCACCTTAACAGTCCCCGAAGTGAAGGGGTTCTGATTGACTGCTGCAGATGAGGTGGTTCTACGGTGCACCCAAGCAGCCTACTGTTCCCTCCCTTGCACCAGTTGCTTGTGGGGCGCGTAACAGCCCTGGATGGGCCAGTTCCAGCCCTTGGGCCTTATGTTTGACACCCCTGACTTAAACAGTTTTGTGGAGTTTATGTCTAACTAAGACAACAACTCCAGGCATGAGGATACAGGCATTGATTCCATGGTGTTGTAGTATGTATACACTCCATTCTACAGGCCTTGTTCTTACTGGCCTCACTGCCTGTGCCTGCCTTAGTATGAACAACTGTAGTGCAGAGCAACAGAGATAACTGGAGGAAGACCTGCCATTGGCCACATGTTATCCATGATTCATTTCCGATTGTTGTTGTTCTAATTTAATAAATAAAAATATCACAACTACTTTGCCAGATTTCCTTGCTACTAACTTTACGTCTACCACAAATTTACCTCTTGATTGTGGGACATCGGTGCCAGTGAAACGAAGGAACAATTAGCTTAGTACTGAACATGCAAACAGCATCAGCTACACAAAATATGGGGTAGATGGTTACAAAGGTAATATTCCATCCTTGTTTCAATATAAAGGAAGAACCTTTACTACTAGGCAAGTCTGTAGTTCTAATTAAGTTCATTAAATATGTTCATACTCCCACTAAATGTGATATCAGGTTATCATCTGTACATTAAAGGTTGATCACTGGACAAACTGAAAGGGGAAAGGGAGCCTGATAAGTTACTGAAGACTTTTCCTCAGCCCTTGAGCTTTCAAAAAGCCTCACGGATATGTAGAAATTCAACAGCTGCAGCCATTCCAATTAGGGAGAAAGGACTGTACCTGCTGAATTACCCATCACATAGCCTGTATACAGCCAAAAACCCAGTACCACATTTTTGTAATTATATTGGCCTGGTTTTATTCTTTTTTAACATAATGTTTTCAAACATCACTACTACAACAGAGAGTCCTTACATTATCTATATATCTAACTCCCAACATGGCCCCCTGCACGATACTTATTTCCGCAGATCAGGGGCACATGGAGGGAAAAGAGATTATCCTGCACATTTGCCCCGCCCCCCCCCCAGCTGTGCAGAAAAATCTAAAAACTTTAAAAAAGGATACAGGGCTATTTAAATTCCGCCAAAAGTACAACAGCTTTTTCTGCTCATGCGCAGAGAAAGGACTTACCAACAGGAGCTTTCTCTCTCCTTGAAAAGTTCTGAGCAGGTGACTGCCCTTAGCAACGCTTTCCTAGCGACAAGGCCTTTGCAGGCTTTTCTGCTTTTGGGAAGCCGGGACCAAAGAGGGATGGAAAGGGGTGTGTGTGTGTGGCTTTATGGCTGAGCTTGCACTGGCTCGGCCTCCCAGGCACTGCCACTGCTGCCGGGCTCAAAGTTAGGGGAGAAAGAAGGGGGTGATTGGCAGGGGGGGGAGGGGGAGAAAGGGAAAGATGG